CTACTACTACTCCTGCTGCTGCAGCTGCTGCAGCTGCTGCAGCTGCTGCAGCTGCTGCAGCTGCCGCTACTTCTACTACTACTGCTGCTGCTGCTGCTACTACTACTACTACTACTACCACTACTACTACTATTGTTATTACTACCGTGCGCAATTGGCACACAACACAAGCAAGAGCTTAAGCCGAATTATTGGCAAACCTGCGAATTAATGCTCACATGCAAACTAGGCTGGCTGCAGTTGACATATGCAGGCATTTCCCACATTGACAGATGCATTCACATACTGCTAGTACTAATTGCAAATAAGAATGCTGATGCTCATTTCGTACTAATACTTGTTCTAATCAGGTGCGCGTGCTTGAGCTCTTCGCCGGAATCGGCGGCATGCGCCTTGCGCTCTCGTGACCCCAGAATCTGTCACTCATGTGAGCTATACTGTACACTTTTTGAAGAGGTTATATAGGGGATTGCGTAGGGGGTATTCTACGGGGTTATTAAGGGGGATGCTAGGAGGTTAGACCATAGCTCATGTGCATGCTCCAGAATCCGCAGGCCAGCTAGGTGCATACTCTTCTTGCACAGGGCTGTAGAGCTCTGAAGCTGCAACGCTCCTGAGCTAGAAGGAAGTTGTGTGATGTATAGTCCCCCTTTAGTAGATAGAATATGGCTTTGGGTATGGTATAATAAGATCCCCATATACACCATATTCTATCTACTTAAGCGGGACTATAGCAGGATGTGACAGATTTGTATCTTGTGCATGCGGTCTTGTTTCGAGTGGCTCCGTACACTGAGCTGTGCTGCAAGCACTGCCAGCCCTAGAAGCCATGCCTGTTGGCGGCTACTCTCTCGCAGAATCCCCCAACAAGGGAGCAACTGGGCAAAGATTGATCTCGTTGATTGCAGGCGTACACTGCGTATACTGTAACCTGAAGCTTGGCTTGGCATAATACTGAGGCGGTGACTGGCGCCACAATGTTCCCATCGCGCGGCCTCGCAAATGCGGGCATGCAGCAGCTGAGTCCCAGGTTCCCAGGCAAAGGGCCAAGCCCCAGCATTAACACCCATGGGCAGTTTGAAGATCTGGAGCAGCGCTTCAAGCTCTGGGTGGGTGGCTCTGAAGCCGGGAAATCGCAGCTGTGGAAAGCCTGGGATGCCATTGACTACAATGGCAACTGGGTTCTTGTTGAAGCGCATTTTACATTTTTAGCCATACCCGGGCCCAATATAGATTTAGCATGACCATTTTAAATGGTATGTTCAACAAGAACGCAGGCAACAATATCGTGAGCCTGGCTGAGATTGACCGTTGGGTGGTTGATACTTACCCGCAGCTGAACAACAAGCCTGTCTCCTGGATTACATGGCAGAATGAGCTCTCCTATGGGAGGCTTCACCCTAAACCCTGAACGCCCTAAACCATTAAACCCCTAAACCCTACACCCTAAGTTTTCCAGAGTAGATACCATGCCGCCCCAGCATGTCAAGCAAGGCTCTGATGCGGGCCTACAAAGCGTGCGACCTCAACCAGGCAAGCCCCCTTTCTGGGTTGATGGGAGTTTCCCTAAATTCGGGGTACCTTTAGAAAGCGGGTTATAGGGAATATATCAGGCCTAGGGTCCCCCAAAATCGTTTGGGGCTTGGAGTTTCAGGGACTGCGGCGGTTAAATCAACTCCCCCTAAACCCTATATGATGAACCCTGTACTTCTTTGTTTTCCAGGACAGTTATGTCAACAAGCGCGAGTTCCCGGTTCTGCTGAGGCATCCTGCAAGAGTTGCCATTGTCAAAGCTAGTGCCTGCTTTTCTCTGCAACATGAGCTGTAGTCTAAACTCCATAAAGAGGAATGATATAGGGGACTACTACAAGAGTTTACTAAAGGGAAGTACTAGGAGTTTAGACAAAAGCTTACAT